AGGGAGAGAGAAAGTGATAAAACAATTCATCAGGTCTGGGACTAGAACTGTGGCTAGCCATGTGGGAGTGTCTAGCACTTTAACCACCAAGCCACCTGCTGGTCACTCTCCCTATTTTTCTTGATCAATCTTGCCGGAAGCTTATTGTAATGGCTAATTGTTAACTTGCTGGGCCAAGGTATTGGATAATATGACCATTCTGGATGTTTACATGAGAATACTTTTTGGAGGGGATTAACATTGCTGGGCTCTGAGTAAAGCAGATTACCCTCTACCACATGAGTGGGCCTTACCCAATCAGAGGCCAGGATAGAAAGAAGAGTGGCCTCCTGCAAGTGGTGCAGCAGCTGACAGGCTCTGGACTTGACTTGCAGCATCAGCTCATCCTTGAGTCCCCAGCCTTTGGCCTACCCTGCAGATTTTGGCCTTACCAACCTCTTACTCATGCTAACCAATTCCTTAGAAAAAAAAATCTCTCTCTCTCTCTCTCTCTCTCTCTCTCTCTCTCTCTCTCTCTCTCTCTCTCTCTCTCTCTCTCTCTCTCTCTCTCTCTCTCTCTCTCTCTCTCTCTCTCTATATATATATATATATGTGTGTGTGTGTGTGTGTGTGTGTATACACATACATACATATTTATTGGTTTTGTTTCTTGGGAGAACACTAAAACACTTACTCATTTTGTTCATATTTTATCTTTTTATTAGTATTATTACTATTTTAGAGATTTTTGCTATAAGGCATGTACACCTGCTAGAGAGAGACAGAGACAGCAAGTGAGAAATCTCCCCCCAGGGGGGATGATCGCACCACAGTCCCCTCTTCTCTAGTCTCCTCTTGGGATTTTTGGACATGTGTACACATGCACCTGGTATGAGCTTTAAGCTGCCAGGTCTGGGACTCATACTGCGGTCAACTATGTGGGAGTCAGTGACATAACCACTGCGCCATCTGCCGGTCCCTCAAATGTTATTTTTTAATTACTTTTTTATATATCTGTTTTTCAAAAATTTGCTATACAGGGCTGGCAGGTGGCGTGGTGTTTAAGGGTGCTGGACTCCCACATGGTCAATTGTAGTTCAAGTTCCAGACCTGGCAGCTTGCTTTCTCTCTTTCCTTCTTTCTCTCTCTCTCACTCTGTCCCTCTCTGGTCAAATTTAAAAATAAATAAATAAAGTTAAATAAAATAATTTAAAAGAAAATTTGCTATAGGGTCCATGAGCTTGCCAGAGAGAAAGAATTGGAAAGTGAGAAATCACTTCCCAGGGGGATGGCTACACCATAATCCCTTCTCCTCCATTCTTCTCTCAGGATTTTGGGCACACATGCCCAGTGTGTTTTTTCAAGGCAGTGGGTCCAGAACTTGAACCACATAGTCAGCCATGTGGAATCTAGCCATCTTAACCACCTTGCCACCTGTCTGACCCTTTTATTCATATTTTATTATTTATTTTAGAATTATTCATTTATTTAATTTTATTATTATTATTTTGAATTTGACAGAGAGAGAAAAGGAAAGTGAGAAACCAAGCTGCAAGGTCTGGGACTCGAACCATAGTCTGTTACATGGGAGTCCAGCACCTTAACCACAACACTTGCTGGCCCGCCATATTTTAAAAGAATCACTTAGGTTTTGTTAATCCTCTTCACTAAATACTTGGTTTAGATTTCATTAATTCTACTACACTTTTATTATTTTTGTATTTGTTTTCTTCTACTTTCTTTAGATTTCTCTTCTTTCTCTAAACTTGTCATTTTCAGCCTTTCTTCTTTTCCCAGTGTTTAAGCCCAGCAAGCAACTGCCTCCAGGATTTCTACCTTCACAGTGAATCAATTACATCCTCCACTTCCTCAAGGCTCTCCCTTCCACATTTGCTATCTCAAGGAACAAGCCTTCTACTCACCACAGTCCTCCAATTAGGAGACCTCGGTTCTGGAGTTCCCCCTTTCCCCTACCTGGAACATTTACCCAGGAAAGATATCCTGTTACGTCTACCTCAGAAACCCTGTCTCCCTTTCAGCTAGTATCCTGCCTGCTATCTGCTTCCTCTGTTTCTCCTCTACTCCTTCCACCAAGCGCCATCTTTCTAAAGCAGAAATCCGGCCCTGTCACTTCACTGCTTAAAGACTCGTCCTGCCCCTCAGGCCACTCCCTACCATTCTATCTCCACTGCACTTACCTGTCTTCCTCAGTCTTGAGATACACGGGCCAGCTTTTCCCTGTCCATTCCCATGTCTTTCGTTACTTATTTTCTTGGCTGTCCCTTTCCCTCCATTTTCCACTTTGATACTATTTTCTTCCCTTTAACACAAAAACCTGAATGTGACTAAATACTATTGGCTATGGCTTTTTAAAAAAGCTGTATAGGGCTGCCCTGTAGCACAGTGGTTAAGCGTTGTGCACAGAGAGCCAGATTCCACACGGTCAACCACGGTTCAAATCCCAATCCCAGCAGCTTAAAAAAAAACACATGGGGCACATGTGCCTGCATGCCCCAAATCCTGATGGGAGGGAGAAATGGAGGAAAGGGTTGCAGCATGACCATGTCCACTAAGGGTGCATTCTCTCTCTCTCTCTCTCTCCCCCTCTCCCTCACCCTCACCCTCACCCTCTCGCTCTCCCTCTTCCTCTCCCTCTAGCTAGCACACATGCCCTTTGGCAAACAAAAACAAAGTCGAACCGTATATATTCTTCTCTTTCCTTCCTCTCACAACCCTCCTAATAACTGTTCTGTTTTAGAGAATTACAGCCATTTTATTTCTTCCCTTCCTTTCTTTTCTGTTATCTTTTCCTCCCTTCAGAGATCCCTGTAACATGAGTACTTATTTTCTCGGTTTATTTTTCAGACTCTCAGTATGGTTTTGTGGTTTCCATTCCTGCCTAATTCATGGGTACTCTGTTCCGTTTTTGCAGTCCCTTGAGCCTGTTTTGCCATACTCTACTGAATGGTTAATGGTTCTGATTTGCTATTTATTGCTTCTAATGAACTGCTTGGATCACAGACTTCAGGTATTAATTTAGCACTTGATTCCCTGAAGTCTTAAACAGAAATTGTCTGGCCATACCATTTCATCTCATCTCTGAGAGCTGCTGCACCAGCCTCTTTCTGGACTGCCTGGATCATTGTTTCTACCTCCCAGAGTCCTTTGAAGAAGTAACAATATCAGGACCAGCAGATGGCGTAATGATTACATCGCTGGACTCACAGGCATTCAACCGCAGTGCAAGTCCCAGACCCGGCAGCTTAAAACTCACACCAGGCACATGTGCGTGCGTGCCCAAAATCCTGAGAGGAGAATGATGAAGAATGGATTGCTGTGTGGCTATTTCCTGGGGGCGTAAATTCTCACTTTCTGTTTCTCTGCCTCTGTCTCTCCAGCAAGTGCACATGCCCTATAGCAAAAATCTCTCTAATAAAAAATAAAAAGGAAAGAAGTAACAAGGTCAAGGGATTTTGTAAAGTGTACATTTCACCACACCTGTGAACGCAGCTTTCCTGGTAGCACTCCATTATGTAGGAAGTTGCAGATTCTAACTGCCTTCTACAACAATTCCAAACCCCTCTTTCTTAAGTTCACTCATAAAAATGCCTGATTCCACCTGTTCCATTCCATTTCCTAGTTCATATCAACAGAGACCAGGCAGGCCGAACACCTGCCCTCCAGGCAGCCTAGCTCACCTGACCCATAGTCAACCAACAAATCCAAGCACTTCTCTGATAGTTTCTAGCTGTGTGACTTTAATTAAAATATTTACATTTTCTATGAGGTGAGTTTCCTTAACTCTAAAGTGGGTATAACAATACAGGTTGAGTAAGCCTTACTCCAAAGGCCTGGAACCAGGACGTGTTTCAGATTTTTCTTTTGGATTTTTGGAATACCTGCATATACATAGTAAGACATTTTAGGGATGAGACCTGAGTCTAAACACAAAATTCATTTATGTTTTATATACACTTTATATTCATAGAGCGAAGGTAATTTTATACAATATTTTTGTATTGCAGCATTTTGACTCCAACCTGTTATATGATGTCAGGTGTGATATTTCTCCACTCATGGTGTCATGGCAGTACTCAAAAAGTTTCCAATCCTGAAGTAGTTTGGATTTTCTAATTTACGGATGCTCAACCTGTAGTACTGAATTCACAGGGAAGCCAGAAAGATTAAAGTTAATATGGATAAGGCACCAGCTTCTGGTGCTATGTCACAGTATGGGTCGCTGTTTTGGGTTGCTATGACAGAATATATGAGACTGGGTAATTTATGAAGAAAAGAGGTTTATTGGGCCAGCTCCTTGGCCTGCTGGTTGCACAGTGGATCCCACATGGCCGACCATGTGATTGAGTCTGGGAGACTTCAGAAACATGCCGAGCACATGTACATGCATGTCCAAAATTCCAAAATGGAGAGAGACATGGAAGAGAAGGGATTGTAGCATGACCATTCCTCCAAGAACGGTGCTTCCTCCTCTCCCTCTCTCTCTTTTCCTCTTTGGTAAGTATGCACACCTTCTGGTGA